ACCACTTTCTCCTTCTCTAATGCTGTTTCCCCACATTCATCCAATGCGGTGTATGTCTGACGCTGCTGCACTAGTCTAACAGACTCTATTCGCAATGCTTCTAATTGTTGTCTCAAGGCATTTTTGCCTGTGATGCCTTGGAGACGCATTTCGTGCATCTCGTGCCGTACAGCTGCTTTTAGGCGTGTGAGTCGCTCAATCTCACGCAACATTGCATCTCGACACCGCTGCTCTTTCATACTCAGTAGCAACGGTTTCTGTTGTTCTGGCCGTTGTTGTTATTTTTGTTGTTGTGCAAATGCACTTCTTCCACACGGTGATCGTTGGTGTTTTTGGTGGTGCCTGTGGATATTACTGTTGTTTATGGTGTTGTTGATAATATTCCCGATGCTGCGTTGATCGTTATGGACGATGTTCCTTTAGCTGTACGGTGTGCCTCTCACTCTGCTGCTGTGATGTTATCCTACTGGCATGGACAAGTACACTCTGCAGCCCCATACAAGTTTATAATGATGAGCACTCCTGCTGCTGCCCATACGTAGTGGAGGATGAAGAGGTGTATGGGCTGCTGCTAGAAGCAGCAAAATGGAGAGAAATATATGAGTGCACACACACACAGAGAGAGAAAGAGAGAGAGAGAATAGTGAAACCTCTTCCACTACTATTGGGGTGGGTGTTGGCAGGACTCATTCAAGTGAGGGAGAACCCAATGGCGGGATCCATTGGAGTCAACTCTTCTTCTTTCCACACTCGAAGGGGACCAATTAATATGGATTGAGAAACTCCTTTCATCAGCCACACCAGTACAATGGATTAGGCAGCAGTCTTCTGTCAGCGCAAAGAGAGATATATCTCAACAATAGAATGGCGGTGAGGCTGAGAAAGAAATGGATGTTACTAAACCAGTAGAGTATAATTCAAGAAAGGAACACTGGAAATACACCCAATAAAGAGAAATCAACACCAGGAATTACACACATCACAAAGGAACATACGGAACTATTCCAGACTGCAGTCCACTACCATCCACACAGCTAACACTAGAATCAGGCAGAGACTCAACAATCACTGAAGAAGTACCAAACATCAGCACAAGGTTCACATTACGCTGCAGAAGCAACAAAAACACACACACGGAACAGGTTCACTGATAGGAGTAGTAGATCTTGGCGCATCTTCATCACAGTCATACAAAGTGGGCATTGCCTAAACAGACTAGATTACACCATAAAAAATAAGAGCATAAAGAGAAAGGCAACACATCAATAAAATAAACACACAAACACAAACATAAACAAAACAAATCAACTAGCAACAGAAAGACAAAAAACAAAGAAGAAATAATAACTCTCAGAGTGTTCAATTAAAACAAAAAAAAAATAACACTATACCCAGTATTAAACAGAAAATCTTAATTATCTCTGAAAGAAAGATATATAAATAATTAAAAATTGCGACCAACAAGAGCAGGAAATAAAGAAATATATAGCTCTTGATTGGGTGGTCAGCATATAGCAAATTATAAATTTATGTAACAGTTATTATATTGTTCTCTTCTGCAAAAAACAGAATACCAAAACGGTGAAGAGCAAAGCACAAAACGACAAAGCAAAAAACAAGTAAATAAAGAGAATTAAATATTTGTGCCCAATTTACCCAGTAAAGACAGAAATATACCAAATATGGGTATAAGTCTATATATGTATATGTACGCAATTATAAATATAAATTCATCTGTTATTATTATTTCCTTTTCCTTCACTGCAAAAAAGCAGTTCATCATCATTATCATTACAGTGCAAGCCCAGGTGCACACACACAGAGAGAGTCTCCAAGAACACACACACACACAATGGAGTAGTAGCAATAACAATTATTATAGGATAAACACAGAGAGAGCAAAAACATACACAAAACACATTAACATTAAGAAACAAAAAAAGAAGAAAATCCCAACAGGTGGAAGATTCGTTAGACTGTAGTGATGTATGCAAAAAGAAGAAAAGAAAACAAAGGATGACCTGGGTCACACCATCACACCACCACCACTACAATCAGCACACAAGAATACAGGCCAGTGTAACCACAATCAGTAGTGGTACACACACCCACACAGAACTGCTGATACTGCTGCTGCTGTCTGCATCACCCTTCTTGTTGTTTGTGAGTTCAGGAGGAAGTGTTGTGGTGGTGGTGGTGGTTTCTGTATTTCCCACATTACCTTCTTGGGTATTTGTTGATTCACTGGGTGTAATGCCACTCCCAGCCGTAGTGGCTTCAGAACCACTGGTATTTACTGTGTCCGAATTGACAGAAGAAGAATGAGAAGGTTGTTTTCCCGCAGTTCCCTGGTTATCTGCGGTACTGTTGCTCCCCCGTCCAGTTGTACCTTCAGCTTCAGGTGCTGAAGCAGCAACATCGACTTCACCTTTATCACCATTCATACCTTGACGGTCTTCCTTTGGAGAGCTGGTTGAGGCATCATCAACAATAGCAGGAGTACCGGGTTTGTCCTCACGAGGATGTGCCTCCACAGAACCAAGAGGAACGTTAGGTTCAGGTTCTTTCAGTACAGATGGAAGAGGCTTTTCTGGCGGTTTAGGCAGAGGACAAGATGCAGAAGAATTAGGAGTGCAAGGGACACCACGTTCAGGTTCATGAAGAGGATGTGGAGGAGAATGAGGTGATTGTTGGTGTTGGCCACCTTGCGGAATAATAGCAGCATGAACAGCTTCTTCAGTGAGAGAACGAGAAACAGCGTGACCACCAGAGGCACAATTTCTACCATCAGTATCGGTAGAGCAAGAAGCACCACTAGCAGGATCACGAGTTTTTAGATCAACCTCCTCATCGTCATCGTTTTCTTCAGCTCCTTCCTCATCGTCATCAACATCTAACCCCACGTCCCTCCTCAAATTACACTCTTTATCGTTAGAAGGGATAAGAAGCGCAGGAATAGCATGATGAACAAGAGAAGGAACACCAATAGTGGAAGGTTTAATAAGGGCATTGGAAGCTTTAGGACTATCAGCCCATACTAACCCACAAGCACAACAGAGTGTAAGAGTTAGTAAACAGAGCAGGTAACACCTCACCATTACAGCCTTTGTCATTGTACTTGACTTCAATACACTAATACAGGAAAAATAAGAAAGAAAGAGACACACATAGTGAGTGGATGCAGGACACAAATACTCACAGTGGAATAGAGAGAGAGAAGCAGCAAAAGCATAGTAAACAAAAAGGAATAGTCCGCTTGTATGATAATAATATGTACCCTTAATAGAAAAAGAAAAAACACAGAATACCCAAATAAGAGAGAGAGCCAAACACACACAATACTCCATGGCTCTAGTTTATGTATTAAATTACTGCACACACACATCTGTGTGTTCTAGCAAGAGATGTATACCGTCAGTGAGCAGAACAGCCCAGTTTTCTGCAAACACTCAACAGGAAAAGCAAGTAATGGAATTAGTAGAAAAAGAACACACACACGTAAAAGTAAAAGAAAAGAAACTCGAATTAAAAGAGAAAGCTGGTAAACAGATTATTAATTTATTCACCCATGGTGGATGTACGCAATTATGTTGATGTTAGTTTAACCATTATTATTATTTGTCCTCAAGTGAGTCCCACCGTTCAGTACATGGTAACGGAGACCAACACAGCCACAATCAGCAGCGGTGCTGCAGTGCGCATCCACACAGGATTGACACCGCTGTCAGCATTAGCCTTGTTCTGTACTGTGGAAGCAATGCTGCTGATCCCTGCGTTGGGTACAAGAGATGGAATGGTACTGTTTGTAGTTGGCGCTTCTGTAGGAGTGCTGCTGATCTCTGCGTTAGGTGCAGGAACAGGAGATGGAGTGGTGGTTGGTGCTTCTGTGGTAGTATTAGTGGTGGTGGCCGTTGAATCAGCATTGGCATTCTCATGTGATCCTTCTGTGCCAGTCGTACCTGGAGCTGCAGCAGACAGCTGTGTGGGATTAGGGGTGGTAAGTGTACTCGTCTCTGTTGGAGAATGATTCTGTGAAGGATTACCATCATTGGTATTACTGTTCTCTGTGGTGTTTTCAGACTGAGTTTGCGGTTGGTCGTGATTGGAATTAACCTCTCCGGCTGTGCTTATGGCTGTAGGCTTTGATAATGTTGTTCTTGCTTCTGACGCTGCTTCTGGTGAGCTGCTTGAGTCCGCAGAACCTGTTAGTGAGCGTTTTGTAGCTTCAGGATGAGGTAGATCTTCTTGCACTTCAGTAGACACTGATGAAGTGCCTAATTCTCTCTCCCGGTGAAGCTGAGTGCCATTCTGAGATACCGAGTTCGTGTCTCCACGTGGTTGTTGCCGATGATCTCGTACTTCTTCTTCTTCTTGTTCAGGTATACCTCCGTCTTGTTGAAGCTCAGTTTTCTTCGGCATTACAGACTTCATGTGTTCCCCTGGTTGCTGACGATGTTGTACTTCTTGTTGTTGTCTAAGTGAAACTCTATCTTCTCCTTCGGTCACATCTACGTGGAGATTCTTACTTTTCATCTCCTCTAATTGTTGTTTTTGACCTTCAGGGAAAACTGTAACCTTAGCATTCTCCAGCTTATCTTTCTCCCTTTGCTTCTCCAGCTCTTTCTGGTTCTCCAGATTCTTCTTCGTTTTCCACTTATCCTCGTCTAGAGCACCTTCACGACTACCCATCCAGGCCATCACCGCCTTTAGTTGTCCAGCATTAACAGTAGTCCTTGTTGTTGTTGTTGCTGTTCTTGCGGTACGCTGGCGGCAGAGGTCTGCGTACTTCCCACATGCAGACACACGGCTGCCCGCACCGCATGTAAGCCACTCGCTCTCAGCAGCGGGGCGTACACGCAGCGCACCGCCGGCCCCGCACGACACCTCCACAGCCCCACGGGATACACCACGGCCACTGGGACTGTCATTATCAACAGCAGCAGCAGCCGCCATGGTATACCCGCAGGCGCAGCACAGCACAACGGCCAACACACACATCACACGGCACATCATCATAATCACGAGAGAGAGACAAGGGTTTGGTTCACGTAAAAACACTGATCTAGAAAGAAAGTTAAAAAAAAGACAAAAAAAAGAAAATAACTGAAGTATCAAACATGTTAGGACACACAAATCGATTACCGCAAAAGAAACTCACATCGTGAAAGTAAAACCTACCAGTTAAAGAATGCAATACAGCGCACAATAACCTCAGTAAGAGTAAAAACAAAAACAAAAACGCCCACACTCACAAATAACTCAAAAACGCTCAACGCTCAAGCAAAACAGAAGCAAACAAAGAAAAACAGTTATTTCACCAATTACCCAATTTACCCCAGTAAACATAGAAATTTACACCAACTATGGGTATAAGTCTTTATGTGTATATACGCAATTATAAATATAAATTCATGTGTAATTATTATTTCCTTTTCCCTATCACTGCAAAAAGCACTTCATCATTATTATCACAGTGCAAGCCCAGGTGCACACAGAGAGAGAGTCTCCAAGAACACACACACACACAATGGAGTAGCAGCAATAATAATTATAGGATAAACACATAGAGAGCAAAAACACACAAAACACATTAACATTAAGAAACACAATAAAAGCAGAAAGAATCCCAACAGGTGGAAGATTAGTTAAACTGTAGTGTGGATGTATGCAAAAAAGAAAAGAAAACAAAGGATGACCTGAGTCACACCACCACCACTACCACTACAATCAGCACACAAGAATACAGGCCAGTGTAACCACAATCAGTAGTGGTACACGCACCCACACAGAACTGCTGATACTGCTGCTGCTGTCTGCATCACCCTTCTTGTTGTTTGTGGGTTCAGGAGGAATTGTTGTTGTTGTGGTGGTGGTGGTGGTTGATTCCTCTTCAGCTGGGTTACTTATTGTCTCATTTCCTGCAGATGTACTGCCTTTTTCAGATAAAGCAATATCAGAACCACCGGTACTCTCTGTCTCTGAATGGATAGAAGAAGAAGAAGGTTGTGCTCCCGCAGTTCCCTGGTTATCTGTTGCACTGCTGTTGTTGCCGCCACCTGTACCTTCAGCTTCAGGTACAGGAGCAGCAACATCGACTTCACCTTTATCACCATTCATACCTTGACGTTCTTCCTTTGGAGAACTGGTTGAGGCATCATCAACAATAGCAGGAGTATCGGGTCTGTCCTCACGAGGATGTGCCTCCACAGAACCAAGAGGAGCGTTAGGTTCAGGTTCTTTCACTACAGATGGATCGGGTTTTTCTGGCGGTTTAGGCAGAGGACAAGATGCAGAAGAATTAGGAGTGCAAGGGACACCACGTTCAGCTTCCTGGAGAGGATGTTCAGGAGAATGAGGTGATTGTTGGAGTTGGCCACGCTGAAGACTGTCACTACCAGTAGCAGAATCTCCAGTGAGAGAACGAGAAGCATCGTGACCACCAGAGGCACAATTTCTACCATGAGTATCGGAAGAGCAAGAAGCACCACTAGCAGGATCACTAGTCTCAAGATCAACCTCCTCATCGTCATCGTTTTCATCAGCTCCTTCCTCATCGTCATCAACATCTAACCCCACTTCGTTTCTCAAATTACACTCTTTATCGTCAGAAGGGATAAGAAAAGCGGGAATAGCACGACGAACAAGAGAAGGAACACCAATAGTAGAAGGTTTAATAAGGGCATCAGAAGCTTTAGGACTATCAGCCCATACTAACCCACAAGCACAACAGAGTGTAAGAGTTAGTAAATAAAGCAGGTAACATCTCACCATTACAGCCTTTGTCATTGTTGTGTTTTACTCCAAAAGACTCACAGAAGAAATAAATAAAACAATTGAGACAAACATACACCAGAACAACAAATACTCACAGTGGAAAGAGAGAGAAAAGCAGCAACTGCACAGTAAGCAACAAAATGGAATATCCCGCTTGTATGATAATATGTACTCATTAAAAGAAAAAAAAGAGAACACCCCACAGTACCCAAATAAGAGAGAGCCAAACACACACAATACCCCATGGCTCTAGTTTATATATTAAATTACTGTACACACACACATCTGTGTGTACTAGCAAGAGATGTATACCGTCAGTGAGCAGAACAGCCCAGTTTTCTGCACACACACAACGGGAAAAGCAAATAATGGAATTATTAGAAAAAGAACACACACACACATAAAAGAAAAAGAAAAGATATTCCAATTAAAAGATAAAGCTGGTAAACAGATTATTAGTTTATTCACCCATGGGGGATGTACGCAAAATATGATTATATTAGTTTACCATTATTATTATTATTTGCCCTCAAGTGAGTCCCACCGTTCAGTACACGGTAGCGGAGAAGAACACAGCCACAATCAACAGTGGCACACGTACCCACACAGGATTGACACTGCTGTCAACATTAGCCTTGTTCTTCAGTACAGTGGAGGCAATGGTGTTAATCTCCGCGTTGGGTACAGGAGATGGAGTGGTGGTTGGTGCTTCTGTGGTAGTCTTCTCAGCGCTAGGCAGAGTAGTGGTATTTGTTTCTTGAGAGTCAGCGGCAGTCGTACCTGGAGTTTGGTTACCTGAACTACCCTCCCTGGGTGCAGCACTCTCCGCTGCTGTAGGGGATGGCTGGTTAGGTTTGTGTTCACCGGTTGCAGTGTTATCAGATGTGTTGTTTGGTGTTCCTTGATCACCATGTGGTACTGCATCATCTTGTGTAGCTGAAGTAGATCCCTCAGATGTGATTTGTGTTGTTGACGGACTTTTTACTGTTTCTCCTTTAACTAAATTATCTTGTGTTTCAGGACCTCCGTTCTGTGATGCATCTGCTTTGCCTCTAGCTAAGTCATTGGAAGAATCTTGAGATTGTTCATTACCACCCAAAACGGACGGTTGAAGATCACGACCTGCTAGGGTGGGTTGCGTCAACTCTGTTACAGTTTCACCTTCTTTTACTGCAGGATTAACCAATTGCTGCTGAGCATGATCACTCCGACGTGCGTCACAGCTTCCCTTATTAGGTTTTTGATAAAAACACTCCTCGAATTCTTCAAATACACTTTTAGTTTCACCATAATGAAAATCACCAAATATAGCCATCACCGCCTTTGGTTGTCCAGCATTAACAATAGTAGTAGTTGTTGTTGTCGTAGTTGTTGCTCTTGCGGTACGCTGGCGGCAGAGGTCTGCGTACTTCCCACATGCAGACACACGGCTGCCCGCACCGCATGTAAGCCACTCGCTCTCAGCAGCGGGGCGTACACGCAGCGCACCGCC